TTTTTTTTTCAGTCATAGGGTCCGCCATCGGGGTATGGATAAAATGTTTTTTTATAAATATACGAATAACCTTTATTCCGCTAGCTCTGACTTCTACTGCCAGTAGAGACTACATTTTGCTGCGGTCGTAGGGCAAACTTATCAGGCGCTGAAAATGGATAACGCGAGAGCGTCCACAGTGCCCACCTGTAAGACTCGTGCCCTGACTTTCGCCTTGCAGGGTGAGCAGAGGTCAAAGCGTGTTTCCAGGTTTTGGCGAAAAGCCTCAATTTCAACATCCCATTTGGAATCGGCGCTGGCTTCAAATCGGGAGAGTTCAAGCAGCTTTTGCTCCTGTTTTTGCGCGCAGACAGCACAGAGGACGTTCGAGTGTGAAACGAAGGCTTCCTTGGACTAGGTGGAGATTGTTGTAAATAGGATTAATGCGACACTTACCTGGCTTACAAATGCAGACGGATTGCCGGTGGTTTGGTACATTTCCGGAATTTCCTTATTGTAGTCACCAGACGGTGTGAAACCGTTGTACTGTTTGCATGCAGAACAGACAAATGAATTTCGGGCTGATACGTGAATTCTATTGGGAGAGTTGCAGAACCAGCAATGGACAAGAACATAACGATTCTTAATCCAACGACAAATCTGCACGACTAAAACGCACAGAGTGGACAGAAACAGGAACCACAAGGCCATGAGAAGAATATCTGCTTTGCTGTGGACCACCATTTCTACAAGGGATGGGGAAAAAACTGTGTAAGGAAGGGGAGGTCAGTGGAATGTACAGTGCTCAAGTTACTTTGAAGGCTCCAACTTAAGAAGTGACTGATTTCGGCCAGTTGCAAACCACGTAGAACGCTTATAGCTACAGATTTTAGTCAGAAAGACGGTTACTTTAAATACCCTAGCTCAAATCACTTCACACTTGATTGGAAACACTTGCTGTGTTACTGTTCTGTGAGTATTTCTCTGATGATGAATCCGCGACGGATTTCGAAACGTCAGGCGAATAAACACATTGTCCGAGCGATCGAGTCGTCTTCCACTTCGCAGTCCTAAAACGTGTCGCAATCTTTAATCGCTAATTGACCCGTTGTCTGTTTTCTCATGGAAGAAGCTACTTCAGAGACATGAGCCAGTGAACGCAGATGTGGCTCCTCGTCTAACTATGAAGATGCTGTAGTTTGGTGTCTCAAAAAAGAGGACTAGAGAGACCTACACCACAACAGTCACCGCAGAATCGCATGTTTATGTGTTTTACCTAAAACTACCGCCGTTTCTTGATAATCAAATCTCTAGATTCCGTTCAGGTTTAACAAATACGTAATAAACCTTAAAGTTTATGCAGCGTCGATCGTCGGTAGAGAGTCGGTTAAATGACTCCATCTGAGACTGTATTTGAAAAACGATGTGGTAAGTGTTAGCTTCGGTGGATGAATACGGAAGTCCGTGTGCACGTTCTAGATTAAGCAGTACTCGTAGCAGATGACCAACTCCGGTAAGGACAAGTTTTAGGCATTTGGTACAGATGATTCAGACTGGTGAATGTATGTCAAGTCCACAATTCGGCAGTCCATTGAAGAAGACGATAATCTCGAATGGCTTGAGAATGAAATGTTTTTTCTACGTCTAGTATCCCGAGTGGTTACAGATGAAATTGCTCGCAGTCAAATCGCATTAAAGTCACCTCCACTTTTATATAATTTTACATAAATAGTGACATTCAGGAGATTTTCGGCGGCCGTGTAGAACAGTAACTGGGCTAGCTTGCGCTCATGCAATCAGCCTGATCATCGGTAGCATATATTAATTAAGTGACTGCTAAGCGTGAGGACCAACGATGGCAGGCGGCCAGGCCACTGGAGTGAAAAGCAATGGACGAATCTTGTCCTGCTAAGTTATGGTCCTGATGAATTTATAATTCACTACTGTTCTGTTCCTCATTTTAAGGCCAATATGTCAATTGTAAGATGGATAAAAGCGAGTTCTAAGGTACTCATGCGTAGGAGTGAGTAGGAATGAGTGAGTAGGAGTGAGTAGGAAGAACAGACAGACTTATCCCATGCAA